ACTCTCGTGCCACGTGAAAGCCAAGAGCAGCCAAAAACTTATGAGCAAAATGTCCTCAATCTGTCCAACACAACGCTTACACCCGCTCAGCTACAACGTTTGTCGAGAGGCTTAACCTTTTGCCCATGATCCGGTAGATTCAATGAATTTGAACTGTACCAAGACCTCGATAACTTTACGCGTAATCTTTGCCTCCGTGAATACTTTCATGATCGGAAGGACCGTACGGACGAGAATAGATTGATTAGTGGTGACAAATTATGGTGTCCAGGTGAGCAGAGGGACAAACACCTCGATATGTATATATCAGCAGTTCAAAAAGATATCATCAGAGCATATGAAAAAAATCGGCCATCTTGAAACAACCTATCAAAGTCAGAACGATGGGCACTCGATGAACAACGAAAAAACACTAAAATTATTATCAAACCGGCTGATAAAGGGGGCTGCATAGTAATTCTAAACATGCTGGACTACTTAAACGAAGGGGAACGACAACTATCAGACACAAAATTCTACAAAGAACTTCCAACAAACCCGACTCCCGAATTTGAAAGCGAGATAAAAGGAACCCTAAATAATCTCCTTCGGGACGAGAGAATTACCGGCAAAATGTTAAAAGCAATGTTACCAGCCCATTCTGTTCCCGGTCGATTCTATTTGCTCCCCAAAATACACAAGGCAGGCAATCCGGGACGTCCTATAGTATCCAGTAACAGCACATCAACAGAAAACATATCAGAATTAATCAATTCCTTAATAAAAGACATCCCCCCAAATTTTCCCTATTACCTAAGGGACACAAACCACTTCATCTGCGAAACTTCAAGTCTCAACATCCTAGGCGATAGTTTTCTGGTGACCATGGACGACTGCTCACTGTACACCAACATACCCCACCATGATGGAATAACGGCTATGGTTTCTGAATATGAAAAATCTGACTCATAAACTGGTGTAAGTGGCGAGGTACTGTTTACACTTCTTGAACTTGTACTAAATTATAACCAGTTTGAGTTCAATGGCAAGCACTTTCTTCAGGTCAGTGGCACTGCAATGGGCACAAACTTTTCGAGCACCTTTATGGCTTCACTCGAAATCCCATTCATTGAGGGACGCACCTTGAAACCTTTCTACTACAGAAGATACTTAGACGATATTTTTCTGATATGAAACCACGATGAGGGAAGTCTTTTCCGCTTCATAGAGGATTTTAACAAGTGCCACCCGTCAATTAAATTCACGCTCAAAATTTCCAAAACAGGCATTACTTCTTGGACGTCACTGTCACTGTCAAAAATGACCGCTTGTCAACAAACCTTTACGAAAAGCCTACAGACCATCAAATGTACCTACATTTCAACAGCAGCCATCCAAAGCATTGCAAAACGGGTATTCCATATTCTCAGGCCTACCGGAACCGAAGAATATGCAGGGATATGCAGGAATTTGACAGACACGCAGAACACCGAAAGCATTCCTTATTGAAACAAAATTATCACAAAGACATCATTAACGATGCCATACTATGTGCTCGCAACGTGAACCGGAATGATATAATTAAGGGACCAAACAGTAAAACGACTTCCCAAATTAACCTTTTACTAACTTACTTCTCATCAGTGCCACGAATCAGCAACATACTTTCCCGATATTTCAACATAATCAGGAAAAGCAAACGACTAACTTCAATTTTCGTGAAGCCACCTCACGTGGCGTACCGCAGGGGTAAAAACCTGAAGGACATTCTTGTCAGAGCAAAAACAAACCACTACAGAACTAAATCAGGGTGCCATCCATGCGGAAAACTCGATGCAAGGTATGCCCACAGATGGTCACAACACGTGAATCAAAAATGAACTTCTCGGATTTCAAATTCTGCATCACTGAAAGCCTTAATTGTGACACCAGTAACGTAATATACATGCTACATTGCAACATCTGCCAACAAGAATATATCAGCCAAACAGACACGCCATTTCGCCTGCGGTTCAATAATCGCCAGTGCCACTCCACTTCCCTGCCGAAGCCACCTTTATCTAGACATCTGCGCCTGCCAAAGCGCAGTTTTGAAAATATCAGCGTAACTCTTTTACAGTCCGATTTCTTAAACAGGCGCGAGCGCGAACAGCGTGAGGCATATTTCATTTTCAAATTTAGAACATTAGTAGCCGGCAACAACGAGGACCCCAGAAGACTCTCCTGCCTCCGAGAAGTAAGCCAGGAGGAAATTGGTGACAAAGATTCATAGCTGGAGACCATGCTTGTTTTTTTTTTTTTCTGACTGACTCGTACGTGTACACTGTCGTTTCTTACTTTATTTTCTTCTTTATATATATATACATTTATTCTTTCACATGTACATACAAAGTGTATACGCTCGCCTACCACTTGACTGCCCTTGAGGGGAAACGGGCGAAGATGAAAGGTAAAGAACCGACCGACCCATTAAGGAGGAACTCTTTTCTTATGCACGCCATCGCGGGCCCTTCCCGCCACCGCGGCGACAATCTTGGGTGGCCCGACACACGTCGAGAACTGGCGAGCACAGGATGAGAACCGGATGTGGACTTACACCGACATTTGGATGTGCACAGTCTGATTTCGTGCTCAGTGTTCACAGTGTTTTTTTTGTTTTTTTTTTTGTTCTCTCTTATTCTCGCAAACACCTTTCAAGGCAACGAAGTTTGAATGTCTATGTTAGTATAACTAATCCCCTGACAGAGGAAGGACCCCTCCCGAAACTGTTGGGAAATAAATATATTTATCCTTATTGACAATGCTCCCGTTGTGCCATATCCCATACCTTCACGAAGACTAACTGGCCCATTGAATTATTACTCTCAGTATATATATATATATATATATATATATATATATATATATATATATATATATATATATATATATATATATATATATATATATATATATATAGTAGAGAAGCCTCCGAACACTGAAATGGGTAGAACTCTCAAGTTTGTCAACTTGCTGTCTTTGACGTCAGTACCATCGGCGCCCGTAAAGATGGGTGGATCGCGGATCCTGGGGACACCAGGACAAGGGGGTGGCATGGGAGGAGGCGTTTGCGTTTGCTGAGAGGTGTCGTGGGACATGGTAGATTGCAGGGTACAAGATCGTAGTTCCAAGGGCATTGAAGGGGATCGTAGCACTCTCAACCAATTTGTTAAGGCGTTTATTAGCTGGCACACAGCGAGCATACACAATGGCAACAGTAACAGCCAAGCACAGCCTCTCAGCGCGAGTGGCATCCATTTTGGGTAGACCCGCTAGAAAGCACTTGAGAGTTCGACCGATTTCAGTGTTCGGAGGCTTTCTACAATATATATATATATATATATATATATATATATATATATATATATATATATATTCTAGTCCATTTGCCCATCTGCTAAAATTATTGACTTAAGGTCACGAGTTTTTTTTTGGTTCAATTTATGCAACGATTTCAACAGAGGTGTTGTCTCTAATTATTGATTTCTAACATTTAGCAGCTATTATGCCCATCTAACCATGCACTCCTGAAATGTGAGTTCTAGCTAATTTGTATTTAATACATGCACAACAATATTGTTACACTTAATTTTTTTTTTAGCATTTGTCACTTATTTATGCCCCGTTTCAAAAGGCATTCCACCATCCTGAGATTCTTTTTTTACATGTTGATAACTGCAATATCTTCATATTGAGAAGCACATGTAATTTGATTAACTTTGTGTGCTTCCTTGAAGTGCTTTCCTCAGTTTGTTGGTGTTCTTAATAATGTTGTGATGTCTTTCATTTTGACCAACCAGGCTTCTTGTGTGATGCTAACTGCTTGCCTTTCACGGCAATGGAGTCTTCCTAACTTTCACAGGAATTCGTTAAGGCAGGTTGATGGGCTAGTTGGTTGGGGTTCATCATTTATATGGGTATAGTGCACCACGACAAGGACACAAAGAGAGAAACACACACACACGCACGCACGCACGCACGCACACAAACACACAGAACAAATGCAAAAATAGTTTTTCAGCCACTCCAAAACAACTCCTACACACTGTCATTGTCAGTGGTGTAATGCGCCCCCCCCCCCCCTCTTTAAAAAAAAATCAGCCTACGCTGCTGGTCAAAGAGATAAAAACCTTTTAAAGTATTCCTCCCACATTGGTTTATTTAGAAGGTATACAATCAAAGACCTAATGAGCGGTTATAGCAGTTTTTTTTTTAATCTTACACACTCCAATATATGAATATATGTGTCTGCAATTCGTACATGATGACCAGGGAGCAATCATAAATCTACACCAGGAAGTGCCTCGCAGTTCGACTGCTAAACTTTACAATTCGCTGTTCCTTACGGTATAATTGATCTGCTTTTGTACAGAGCACATGATGAGTTTCATGCGTACACTTGGCGGGCCAGCTACTTTAAGAAAGTGTTCAATACAAAGTGTTCCACGAGTCTCTCAGCATTCTGTAACATCACGATATGGTCAACCTGGCTGATAATCGCACACACAACCTTTCGCTCAACAGCAGAACGCTCTGTCTATTGAGCCACAGCCGCAAGACGGTTACATTGTGACCACAAACACAATTATCAACACCGAATAAAAGGTTGTAGCAAACAACAATTTCTTTTTACTAAATACGCGTGCGCAGATAGTCAGAGCGACTTCAATTTAGCTACACCGCCTTGTATGTGACCATACTGTAAACATGACATGTGATTGATTGATTTGTGGGGTTTAACGTCCCAAAACCACTATTTGATTATGAGAGACGCCGTAGTGGAGGGCTCCGGAAATTTTGACCACCTGGGGTTCTTTAACGTGCACCCAAATCTGAGTACACGGGCCTACAACATTTAAAACATGACATGTGTAATGCTTATTCAAAACGACCGCAGTCGCGAAAATATGTGCACCCGAAAGCGCTAGAATATCGTCGACGTTAACACTGCGCATGGGTCGGCTTCGGCTTAAGTGGCCTACCTTCTTTAGTTCCAACAGTGTTGAAGTAACCAGCGGAAAAACCTCCAGTAAAAGCTCCGTGAAAACGGCGTCTTCCCTGCGCATCTCTGACAGTAAGATCGGGCTGGAACTTCTTCCGGGGGATTTCGTCTGCACAAAAACAAACAGCAATTAGTGACACTAGCACGAATACAAAGGAACTATGCGTTGCTTCATATCTGACGTAGTAAACACCAGGTGGCAACAGTAATTTTGGATGAACAATTCACTCGTTAATCAGCAGTTTTCGCAACGATCGTACCATCCTCAAGTTCCTCCAAAGGGGTACCAAGGAACAGGTACTCTTCCGCCATATCGAAATGCCAGCAGTGGGATCAGCAACAATACTACGGTTCCGACTTTGATCTTGCTCTTTCATTGCACTAGAAGAACAAAACTCACTGCATCTTCGTTATCTCACATTTGCTGAACATTAGAAAACGGTCATAATGCGCACAAAAATTCGCTTAAGTGCGCCGCCATATTGTAGAGGTACGGTCATTGTGGCCAAGCTAAAAGCAGCTACCCGCCGAAAGTACAAAAAAAATAAATTATGAACGTTGACGATGATGCTGTTACTGAACTACAGTGCCTAGAATCCCTGAACCGGGACTCAACGTGCCTGTTTGTTACAATCACGCATCACTGCATTTGCCACAGTGAAACTTCCTGGTCTTCGTGGCTACCTTTTGCTTTATTATTCTTATTTATTTATTTTGCATATGTGGTCTCGTCATTAGTACAAGTAGAATGACCCATGAAAGCGCATGTGACCAAGAAATAAGTGTAAATTTAAGGACTCGTCTTTGTTGACACAATAACAATAAGAACAGACAGTGATGCCAAAGGATGTTGTTAGAAGTAATTGCAATGTAAATAAAAAGGAAGAAAACTGGCAGGTTCGGCAGGACCCGAACCTGCGATCTTCAAATCACGCATCCGATGCTCTAACTCTGACCTATGGGGGCGGTCATGTAACCACCTGCCTTCAAACGTGGGAGTAGAGTTACAGGTAGCATATACAGAAACTCTACTTGGGAGCGTAAGTCGGTGCCACCTTTTGTCATTACGGTGAGTGTAGACAGTAGAACACTCTTTTCTGCTTGATGACGTCACTTAGCACGTGATCTTCATACGAGCTGGCACCTTACCAACAATCCCTCGCTTGCCAAAACGAGACCCTTGCTCCGAATGACGAAGAGAAGTGTAAGTTTAAGGGCTTCTTTTTTTTTTTGTTAGAATAATAATGAGAACTAGCATGCTACTTGAAGGCAACAAGTCTGCCAAAACGATACCTTAAATTGCTAAGAACGAAAGAAGAAAAAGTGTAAATATAAGGACTTGTTTTCTTTGTTAGGCACAATATTAATAAGAACTAGCACACTACTTGAAGGCATCAAGTCTGCAAGAACGAGACCATTGTTATGAATGAAAGAAAGAAGTGTAAATTTAAGTGCTCGTGCTACCAGGAGTGTTTCACACTAGTCGTAATGACAGCCAGTGGCGCTGACTGCATGACGTTCTCCTATAGAGTGCCTGGACGCCCGCGCGCGCATCAAGGCACCCTTTTCTCCCACGTTTAAATGCACATATATATACTCTACAGTGGAGGGGGGGGGGGGGGGGGAGGGTCGATGATTGCTAACGTAGCTCAGTGGTAGAGCATCAGACGCTTTATTAATAGGACGTAGGTTCGGATCCTGCCGACGTCAAGTTATATCTTCATTCAATTTTGTCTTTTCACGTTTACATTAAAATTATATACTTGTAATATCATCCCCTACACTTTCCTTGGCATCATTGCCTGTTAGTTCTCATTAACAATGCTAGCCAAAATTCTTTCATGTCTATAGATATTTGTATAGCTCTAAATCATACGCTTGATACAGCTCCATTACCAAGAAACCCGTGAAAGTGCACAACCCCCTTAGCCCCGCAGCGGTGGTCTAGTGGCTAAGGTACCCGGCTGCTGAACCGCAAATCGCGGGATCAAATCCCGGCTGCGGCGGCTGCATTTCCGATGGAGGCGGAAATGTTGTAGGCCCGTGTGCTCAGATTTGGGTGCATGTTAAAGAACCCCAGGTGGTAGAAATTTCCGGAGCCCTCCACTACGGCGTCTCTCATAATCGTATGATAGTTTTGGGACGTTAAACCCCACATATCAATCAATCAAGTGCACAACCCAGCGATTCCCTTGGCGTTTCCCACCGCTATGGTTCACCGCCTCGGCGATGGCGCTTTCTCTTGCGCTGCGCGTGTGTAAGCCGCATGTTTCAGAAGTGTTTTTCACAATTTTAAGTGAATTGTAGTGTAGCGCGCAGCGTAAATATGTGGTTATTTCTGCATTTAATATTCCTTTAGACCTTCGTAGTTCATTTTGCGCCGTTTTGGTCATTTGAACTATTCTTGTTTTAGGTCTGCATTGAGTCCAGCGTGAGCCATCCTACATGAGACGGAGGAATACAAGCCGTGCCCCCAAACTGCTTCGCACTCAACAGCAGTGGGACGCTTCACACAATCTCAGCTTTTAGGAAAGAGCTGGTTGGGCTCCTAAACGTCATGATTTTAAACAATTTTGGTTAGACTGTTTTTTTTTTTTAATTCATGCAGTTCCCCATAAAAAGGCAGGTCTATACGCTCACTCTGGCGTAGCAGTATGTAAATAATTGATCGAATGCTAGTCGTTGAGGTATAGGAACTCCTATACTGAAGCATGTCATGGCTTTCTGAATTTCACGTACTCACCTTTTTTGGCCCACATCCTCGCAAAAAGAAGGTGGGCAAGTCCTATAGTTCCGATGAACAGTCAAAGTAGTTCTGCCTTCGTCCCTTTTAACGAGCTTGTGCGCTCACACTTTGCTTTGCTTTGCTTCCCTAGATACATGGTATACGTACCCACTTTGGGGATTGGCCAAGAATGCAACGTAGAGACTGTTAAATGCTAGTTTGGGCAAGCTATGATATTTTAAAAGAAAAATAAAGAAATGAAATGGCAATAATACGTAAAATATTATATTTACCTACAAGTAATATCCTTTTGAGCCGGTATTCCAGACTGCCGTAATAACCCGACGGGAATAATTTTGAAAACGTGAGTTTTAACTTAACAAAATAACAAATAGTTTTAAATACCAGATTAAAATGGTACTCGTTGAGTAGTTATAATGAAATCACACACGGCATCAAAGGCATCCTTGTGGCAGTATCCCAAACCTGAGGCACCGAAACATGTTCCTCCGATAAGGTCAAGCCTATTTTTTAAAAAGGATTAATTAGAAGTCGAGTCGGCGGGCGCAGAAAAACGACGGGTCGAGAAACGACCCGTCGTTTTCTTTTTCTTTTTTTATTTTTTAAGACAGCATACACGACACTAACCTTTCAGCTCACAAACCGGTATCTAAGGATTTTTTTTCTTTTCATTATATTTGTCAGAGCTTACATGATCTCAAAAGTGTTGAAGCACATGTGAGTTGGTTATCCTAGAACTTAGCTTGTATTAGAGCGGTACATATAAAAAGGGGAAGAAAAAGGAAAAGACGGCACATACGTCAAGAAAGGTAGCTGCTAAACTTCCAACTGTTTATTTCATGCCCTTCACATCCGTCTTATAAATGCATAAAAACACAGCTCATCTTGCACGTGGTCTCGTTTCACGATACATAATTTCTTTATCCGTAAGTGCAATTGATGGCGAACTCATACACAAGTTTCCCATAGTTTGTTTGTTTGTTTGGCGCCTGTGAACATTGGCACAAACCTTCTCTCACAAAAACAACGTGGGCAAGCACAAAAGTTCCCTTATCCAATATAGCCTCGGCTATATTATTTTTTTCACGAGTCAGCTGATTCCGAGACCGGCCAATAACGATGCAGCTGTACAAATCAGGGAAGCACCCACAACCCCGCTGAAAGGTTATTTCTTGCGTTGTAGCCGTGTTCCCGTGGTCTATCATTAAGACACGGCTTAATGCACTGCCCTATATAGTACTTTCTGTGCGATAACCAAACCTTGTAGACAACGCAGCACTCACCATCCACATATCTAGCCTGGTGCCTCTTATCACAGACTATAGCCCCACCGCGGTGGCCTAGTGGCTAAGGTACTCGGCTGCTGACCCGCAGGTCGCGGGATCGAATCCCTGCTGCGGCGGCTCCATTTTTGATAGATGCGAAAATGCTGTAGCCCCGTGTGCTCAGATTTGGGTGCACGTTAAAGAACCCCAGGTGGTCGAAATTTCTGGAGCCCTTCACTACGGCGTCTCTCATAATCATAAGGTGGTTTTGGGACGTTGAACCCCACGTATGAATCTTATCACATACTAAGTGAATGAAATTATTTGTGAAAGTTGACGTGCAAAGCTCCCCTAGTTTTTTAGGGGCCAAAAACACTACGCGTACGTTAGCCCACTCGGCTACTTCCTTCAAGTTATGAAAGATAGTGTGCATATACGGGATGATACCTACTCTGCTGCCCGAACACTCAACACTTGTTGCCTTTTCTTTGTGTGAATCTTTCAAGATGTGTTCGGCTACAGAAACCTACAGCAGGAATGGGCACCTTGCTTGGGTGAGACGCTTGCTTTGAGTCCCGAAACTGGACGCCATTTTGTGGTGACATACTTTGGTCAACATCATCACCACCAGTCTGACTACGCCCCCTGCAGGGCAAAGGCTTCTGCCATGATCCACCAATCAACCCGTTCTTGTCCGTTTCGTTGCCACGTTATACCCGCAAATTTTTTAGTCTCATCGGCCCACCTAACCTTCTGTCTCCCCCTAACCCGCTTGCCTTCTCTGGGAATCTAGTCAGTTACCCTTAATGACCAGCGGTTATCCTGTCTACGCGCTACATGCCCGGCCCATGTCAGTTTCTCTTGATTTCACCTATGATATCCTTAACCCCAGTTTGTTCCCTGACCCACTCTGCTCTCTTCTTGTCTCTTAAGGTTACACATATAATTTTCCTTTCCATAGCTCGCTGCGTCGTTTTTAATTTAAGCTGAATCGTCTTTGCAAGACTCCAGGTTTCTGCGCTGTAGGATAGCTACTGGCAAGAGGCAGCTGTTATATGCTTTCCTCTTGAGAGTTAGTGGCAGATTGCCATTCATGATTTGAGAATGCTTGCCGAATGTGGTCCACCGCCTCCTTATTCTCCTAGTTATTTCCCTCCATGGTTCAGCTCCGTGATTACTACCTGTCCTAAGTTGACATATTCCTTTACAACTTCCAGCGTATCACAAAGTGCTGTTTTCTGCCGAGACTGTTGAACATTACCTTAGTTTTCTGCATATTAATTTTCAGACCTACTTTTCTGCTTTCCGTGTCCAGTTCAGTTATTGTAGTATCGTGCGGCGGACGGGCCACACGGAGAACACAGTGTACGGCCGCCGACAAGAGGTACGCAGCAGCGGGTAGCCAAGCAGGAGCTGTTTTATTATATACAATGCCGCGCATATATACACAAGGAAGCGCCCCAAACGCAC